TGGGGCAATCTGTTCCAGCACTTCACCACTCTCAGTAAAAAACTTCCCCCAACATGTAATCTAAATCTCCCTTCCTTTAGTTTAAAACCATTCTCCCTTTATCCTATTATTATCTACCCATGTAAAAAGCTGATTTCCCTTTATAATCTCCTTTTACATACTGGAAGGCTACAATGAGTTCTTCCTGCAGCCTTCTCTTCTCCAGGCTGAACAAGTCCAGCTCCTTCACTCTGTCTTTGTAGGGGAGGTTCTCCAGCCCTTGGATCATCTCCATGGCCCTTCTCTGTATCCTCTCCAAAAGCTCCACATCTTCCCTGTATTGGTGGCCCCAGACCTGGATGCAGTACTTCAGATGAGGCCTCATGAGGGCAGAACCACACCACTCAGCTTGGTGTCATCAGCAAATTGCTGAAGGTGCGCTCAGTCCCATCACGTATGTCACTGATAAAGATGTTAATGAGTACCAGTCCTAAGACACATCCCTGGGGGACATCACTTGTCATCAGCCTCTACCCGCACACAGAGCCATTGACCACAACTCTCTGGCTGCAACCTTCCAGCCAACTCCTTATCTACAGAATAGTCCACCCTTCAAATCCATACCTCTCCAATGCAGAGATAAGGATGTGGTGGGGGGTATGCTAACAGCCCCATCCAGCCTGGCCTTGAGCACTGCCAGGGATGGGGCATTCGTAGATTCTCTGGACAGCCTGTGCCAGAGCCTCACCACCCTCTGAGTAAAGAACTTCTTCCCAATGACTAATCTAAACTTACCTTTTTTTAGTTTAACGTCATTACTCCTTGTCCTATCACTATACTCTTGACAACAATCCCTCCCCAGCTCTCCTGTATCCCCTTTATATACTGGAAGACTACTATAAAGTATCCCTAGAGTCTCCTATTCTCTAGGCTGAACACCCCCAGTTGTCAGTCTTTCTTCATAGCAGAGGTGCTCCAGCCTCTGAGCATCTTCATGGCTTTCTCTGAACCCACTCCAACAGCCCCATGTCCTTTTGCTCAGGCCCAGAGCTGAATGCAGTATTGCAGATGGAGTCCAAGAGCAGAGCAGAGCGGACAATCCCCTCCCTAACCCAAGGCAGAGAGACTACAGTCCTTTCTTCTGCTTTGTGGCAGCAACGCTTCCAGTGCCAAGTGTTGTGCTTTGTTAGTCCAGGCGTATCAAGAGACAACTTCCTTTGGCTATTTGCAGCACGTAAAAATCAATATGCTCCTTACATATCCTCTCTGTCATCCCAGACACTTCTGCTCTGCTATTACACGCAGAAAGTTTACCTCCCTCAAGCAGAACGCTGTCTATTTTCTGCATGAATGAGAGAAATGCTCCAACATTATGGCCCTGTATAAATTACAGGTGTGAGATAGGATCGATGGAGGATATAGCAGGGTGAGCAGCTTACGAAAACAGAGAACTGGCCTTGTGAGCAGGGTGATCCTTTCTATTTTCAGGGCTCTTTTTGCTCAGAAGCAAAATTTGACTGTAGATGTCAACTGTGAGGTGTCTGTAGACCTTTGTCTGGGAGGTGTTGATGAAATCTAGCATCCAAAAATATCTCGTGTGGACCTGTCCTAACTGATTAGCACCACAGCTGGCTATTTTAGAGCTGAAGAAGCAAGCTGTTGTGCACAGGATTTGAAAAGCACTTCTGTCTGGGGACTTGAACACTTTGAGTCTTGAAAATAAGGCATAGAAGGTAAATGCATGGAAAGAGAGCAAAGGAGAAAAAAAGAAGTTTGGGGAAATTACTGAGAATGTCATATGGCGAATGAGCCAAAATAGGGTATGTAGGCATCTAGTTCAGATGTGTCAGTTTTGGAGGAGGAAAATCGTAGAAGGGGAAACCGAGCATAGATGCTAACAGACACACAAGGGGCCTAGGTGCCAGTCTTCCTCACAGGGCAAGTAGTGCCCAGCAACATCACATCAGAGACACTGCAAGGCAATGGTCTCCAAACCCTTGCTGGGGTGGTGGGCTCACCCAAACAAGCCTGCTCTGACCCTCTTTGCTTTTCTCCACTCCTGCCCTCTCAGCTATGTGGATGGCTCCTACCCCACTGCTCACTCTGACTGCAGCAATAAGAAAAGGCTTTGTCCAGTTTTCCCTTTTGCCATATTCCCTTAGAGGCCCACAGGAGAGCGTGGGGTTCCTCCAGCTGCTTGCAGACCTCTCTGCTCTCAGCTATACCCCCTCTGCAGTCCTGGCCATGGCCACCTCCCTTTAAACCCACAGGGGCTTCGTCTGGGGGAAGGTGCCAGCAGATGGTGCTCTAGGACCCCATATGCAGCACCTCTGCCCCACAGCGCAGGGCTGGGCTCCCCTGCCACGAGCTCCCTCCATGCTCCAGCCTTTCCCACCTTGGGCACTGCCCATTGCAGCTTCAGGAGGGCCAACAGCTCAGGGTGAAATCTCAAAGCTGACCATCTGCCAGCATCCTCCAGCTCCATCCCCTGGGAGAGCGTTTTCCATTGGCAAGAGGGGGGATTTCCAGGTCAAGACAAAAATGATATTAATTATTTCATCTAAACTGATTTATTCTGGAGAAGTCCAGCAAATTCTTCTCTCTGACTCGCTCCTAAAAATGGTGGCCCATATGTTGTAGCCATATCCTTGTGCAGTGCGTGCTGCTGACTTTAGGATAGCGTTTCAACAGGTCCATCTCAGAGACGTTTCCATCCATCCTCAGAGGTGGACAAAGCAATTTTCTGATTTAAAAAAAGGCAAATTTCAAGACAGAACAGCAGCCCAGTTGATTGCACATTGCAGGAAGTTGGGCAAGAAAAGCCAGAGACAGGCAGTGCTGGTAAGAGTGAGTTATAGCTGCGCTCTGCAGTTTATGGGAGAAGTAAGGTCTGTGTTTACAAAGTGAGAAGAAGAGTGTGAAAAAGTGCTTTTAAGCTGTCAGCTATTTATCTCCGATGCTTGTTTAATTATGGACTAAGTATTACAGTGGGAGGAACCAGAGGGTGCAAGCACTTGCTGATGCCTTGGCAGGAAAGCAGTGTAGGCACTTTAAATTCATGCTGCGCTGCTGTCGGTGTTACAGTGGTGATTTGTGGGGAAGTGGGAGCAAGAGGTGATGGTTTGTGTGCATGACACAGCTGCTTGGGTATTTGGACTGCGAGCTCAGACTATAAGTTTTGTTCCCTTGCAAGCTGGGAGTCATTCTGTTCAATTGCTTCTGTGAATAAATTCATTGTATTATAGGAACCCCATCCCCGAAGTCCCACTTAAGTAATGATTCTTTCCTGCTGGAAACCAAGCTGATCTTGATCATCCCCCTCCCCCAGTGTTATGGTGTTTGCCCCAAAACTCACAACTGTTTTTTAGGGCCAAATATACAGAAATCAGTTTTCCCTACCCAAACCTGTGAGATAAACCACAGCAGGGGTTTAAAGATGCACAACAGCATGAAGACTCACGTGTTCTGCTAAAACTGCATGGTGGAATTTGGATTAGCAGGATGTAATGACTGGAGCTGGAGTTTGGTGATTCTGATTCTGGATAATTGCTGAGAACAATCTCAGGCAAACACAAGCACCAGAAGTCTCATTGCTGAGTCCCAACCTGGGAACAGCTGCTCTCACGGTTAGTTGTGGCATCCGTGGCACTGTGGGAAGAAGATGCTGGAAATGCTTAGGAAGACTTGCTCCTTCCTTTTAGGGAGAAGCTGATGGTAGAAAGCAAGAAACGGGATAGAAAACCAAGAAATACGCCAGTAATGAGATATCTGTCAACACTCCCTGCGGATATCCTCACGGCAGCAGAATTATTTATAGACAGAAGTGTCTGAGAACTTATTTTCACTGACACTGGTGGTGGCAGAGTAATGGATAGCTCTACAGGATGGGTTTTCAAAACCACTCAATTAGGAGCAATGAGGTGCAAAATTAGATGTGCAAAGAATTGGAAACATAGATATTTGACACGGAAGGGACTTTGCTGGCCTGACAACACCATCCTGTTCCCAACAGGACAGAAGAGTTCTTTTCTTATCATCCTGATGTACAATTATTCTTTTTTATAGATACTTCTGTGTACATGAATGTGATATAGAGCCTGAAAAAGGCACATCCATCCAAAGAGACACTAGGGCACAGCCATTCAGAAACTTTATCCAGGATGGGTCTGGATATAAGGAAAATGTTTATTGTGATAAAGGGCAGTGAAGAACTGGCACAGATCGCCCAGAGAGGTGCTGGATGCCCCATCCCTGGAGACACTCAAGGTCAGGCTGGGTGGGCTCTGACCATCTGATGGAGCTGTGGGCGTCCCTGCTCACTGCAGGGGAATTGGACTAGATTATTTTAATTGTTCCTTCCAAATGAAGCAACAATGCCCTGCCCTGCCCTGCGCTGACCACACACACTCGAGGCGCATCCCCAGGCCAGAAGCAGCCCTCAGACTGACAGCACTGCCCACATGCAGGAGGAAAGCCCAAGCTCTGACGCAGCTGGAAGCAGCTCTGGACCTGACATGCACCCTGAACACAGTGGCATCCCAAGCCCAGAAACATGCCCAGAACTGGGCTGCTCCTGCCAGTGCGGCCTGGGTTCATGGGGAATGTGGACCATGTGGCCCATTGGGGATGTGGCCCGAACCCAGCTCAGCCCGGACTGGGCCGGGTGAAGTGAGGCCTGGGGAGGAGACAAGCCTGTTGTCAAGGTCCCTACCTGTGCCCGCCTCAGCAAAAGCAGGGAAGGATGACGCTGACAAATGTGTGTGGGGGGGGATCTCTGATCTTTATTGTGTTGGACTTTTGGGATCAGAGTAAGTAGGGGAGATAGGACAAGGAGGGATGGTTTTAAACTAAGACGGGGGAGGTTTGGGTTAGATATTAGGAGGAAGTTTTTCACACAGAGCACGGTGACACACTGGAACAGGTTTCCCAAGGACGTTGAGGAGGCCCCGTCCCTGGAGGTGTTGAAAGCCAGGCTGGATGTGGCTCTGGGCAGCCTGTTCTAATGGCTGTCGACCCTGCACATAGCAGGGGGGTTGAAACTAGATGATCATTGTGGTCCATTTCAACCCAGGCCATTCTATGAGTGGTACACAGCTGCTCCTACGTAGACTCGGGGGCTGTCTGTGGGGACTTTGTCTCTGAAGTTGTTCCTGGGAGCAGCTTCATTCCCGGGGTGACCTCCGCTGTTGGGCCCGGCTCCTGCTGCCTCTTTGGGGCGAGCTGCGGGAATTGTGAGCCCGACGTCTCTCTGAAGGAGGGCTTTGGGTGCGGGTGCGCCCTCGCTGCCTGGACGGTCCCCTGCGTCTGGGCACTCTGGAAGCCCTCGGGGACCTGGAAGTGGCAGATCTTGTTGATCTGCGGGTGCCGCTCTGCTCCCCCGGGGCTGGTGTTTGCCAGCGGCCACGGCGCCTTCTTGGCCGGCTCTGGGAAGTCGGAGCCCGAGCTTGCAGCGGGGAGCGGCTTCGTGTGCGGCTTCTTCCTCGCCGCCTGGGACGTCTTCTGCGAGCAGCTGCTGGAGACGCCCTGGAGGACCCTGATGCCCTCCGCCTGGTGGATGTGTGGGAGTCGCTCTCAGCACTCGGGGCTGCTGTTTGTCTGCTCCTACGGCGTCCTGGCAGCTGCTCAGAGGTAGCCTGATCCTCACTTAAACGTGGGCCGTTTGCCCCCTGCTCAGTCTCAGGCACACTGTGCAGGTCGCTGTGCTCAGGCAGCTGGGAACTCTGGGATGTCTCCACTGCTGCCTGGCTGGTGGGCACGGAGCTGAAGGTCTCCGACTCCACGGAGCTGCTGGATGACCCCAGAGCACTCTGGCTGGCAGTGCTGGGACCAGCGAGCTCAACGTTGGCGCTGGAGGCTGTAAGGGGAGGCAGGAAGGTCGTTATTCTGAAGCTGCGGCACCACAGTGGGATCTGCCATCCCTCTTGGGACAGACAGACTCTGGCAAAGCTGCCCTGAGCTGTTGCTGCCAGGCCTTGCCTGGCCCCAGTGCGGTGCCACGCGGCTGATTGCCTCTTACCGGTACCCAGGCCAGCACAGCCGTCGCACTCCCACATGTCTCTCGGGTTAAACAGGTGGGAGCACAGTCGATGGGTGCCCTCAGCAGCGCAGGAGTTGCACAGGATCAGCTGCCAGGGCCTGGGGAAGCAAAGGGGTTGTGGCTGTGAGGACCAAGTGAGCCAAGCCAGGGAGTGCCCTGCACAGCACATCTCTGGTGCTCAGTCCTTGCTCTCCCAGCCTGTGGTGAGGCTGAGATCCCCCGCTGAGCTGCTGCGGTAACTTACCCCCTTCTCTCTGCCCGCTCTCTGCCTCCAGGGTAAAGGCATTCGCTGGCATCGCAGCGGCTGTGCCTCACTCGGAGCGGTTCGTATGCCTCATCATTGTCCCATTCTGGGTCTCTGCAAGAGAAGGGAGGGGAAGTGATCAGCCCCCAGTGTCCCCAGCATAAGGTTCAAGCTTATCCCATCTCATCCACTGCATCTCCACTTCCAGCTTCTCCATGAGGCTGGGGCACATGCTCACGTGACAGCCAAGGGCCAGGCCTGCCGAGACAGTCCCTGGGCAGGCCCAGCACTGCAGCCTTAAGGTGAGCAGAACCGGGCAGAAGGACACCAACCTGTCTGGGACTCGGATCCCCACGGTGAACATTTCATCACAGAACGGACCGAAGTCTCGACAGGCGGGGCAGTCAAAGTACACCGTGCCAGCGCTCAGTGCCACTTGCTGCAGGAGAAGCACAAGCAGGGTGAGTGTGAGCAGTGCTGGTGCTGCTGAGCACCAGGCGTGCCTGTGGGGTGAGTGGAGGGCTCCTACCTGGATGCAGGCCCGGTGGAACCAGGCATGTTGGCACGCTGGACACACCATGGTGTGGTAGGACAAGCTGTCCCCCACAGGCTCAAGGCAGATGAGGCAGTTGTTGCCTTCTGCTGGAACTTCCGGAGTCGCCTGTTGAGGGCGGTGCTCCCAGCAGAAGGACCTGGGGGAAGATGGAAGGGATGGGCACGGTGAGAGGTGCTGCGAGGAGGGCAGAGGTCCAGGAAAGAGCGCCCGGGCCCTGCCTCTAGCTCTGGCAGGCCGCTGGGAGGTGGAACTGCGGGTCCTCCGTGGCTTGGCTGCTGCTGACAGCCCTTACCTGTGCTCTCCGAAGTACTGGCTGATGCATTCCCCATCCATGGCACAGGGCAGATGGAAGCTGCGTGCACAGCCGCTCTCTGCGCATGTGATGGCAGCCCCCCGCTCACCGCAAACACAGCATTGCTGGAAAGAGCAGAACAGCCCCGTCAGCAGCAGGCTCAGGGCTTCCATGGCCAGCCCCACACCTCTGGCAGGGCACAGGATGTGGGCACTGCTGGGCCGCGCTCTACAGAGCAGCCTGGGGGACAGGGCTGATTTCCTATGGGCAGGTCTTTGTCCTGGAGGCGTTTGGAAGGGCTGTGATTGCTTTCCTTGGGTCCAGACTAAGCTGGTGTGGGCCCTTCCTGGCACAAGTCTGCCTGCTCCGTACAGGTCCTCACCTGCTTGTTTGCCTGCTTGACCTTGAGTGTGATGGCAGCAAGGGGGAGGCCCTCAGTGCTTGGCCCTGCCGGTGTTGCTTCGGAAGCAATGTTGGCAAACATCTGTAGGAGAGTAAAGAAGAGCAGGATCTCATTAGGACAGAAAGAAAGGGAGCATCCCCAGTGGGACTCTGGAAGGAGCCCATGGGGGAACTCACCAAGCAGAACTCGTGGACATGAATCTCACTCTCGAAAAGCAAGGGCCCGCAGATGTCCGGGTCGACATCTGCCCGGCCACACAGCACACACACTGCAGAGGAGAGAGCAAATGTGAGCAGCGGTGAGCACTTGGCAGGGCCAGGTGTCCCTGAGGGCTGTCCCCAGGGTCCTGCTCTGGGCCTGCCGGGCTGGCTGGAGGCAGTGGAGGGGAAGGGGCCATGGCAGTCCCAAGACAGCCACAGCCCAAGCTGGGCCCCCTTGCCAAGGAGCAGAGGGGCCCTGCCCCATGCCTGTCTGGGAGCTCCTGCCTGCCCCTTTCTCCCCTCTCAGCTCTCAGCCGCAGGCAGAACCCCAGCACCCCTCTGTCCAGCACTGGGAGCTGTGCACAGGGATGCTGTGCTCTCACCTGGCTCCTCCGTGTCGGAGGCCTTCCTCTTGCTATTGGACATCACTGTGCGTTGATAGCGAGCACTGCGAGAGTCCCTGCTCTCTCTGCGCCTCACCAGACCGCTTGGCCTGAGCCTGGCAGCCTTTGCTCTGCTCCAAGCTTCGTGTGTCACAATGGCTGCTCTATGACACCCACTGTGACATCACGGCCACCGCCTCGCAGAGGGTGTGGGCGCTGGCCCTCAAGCAAGAGGGTGGCAGCCCTTGCAGGCAGCACAGAGTGAGGACCCGGTGCTGCCGTGCAGCAGAGAGGAAGGACGGCCACCCTCAACCTGCTGGCACCGCTCCTCATGGCAGATGCTGGAGGGTCTAGTAAAGATGGCAAGTGAACAGCATATTTGGTGTCTAGTGTGTGTGGCAAGTGACTTTTTACAAGGTCTGATAGGGATAGGACATGATTTGATCTAGTTTTAATCTAGAAGAGGAGATTAGATTAAGTCTTCGGGGAAATTCTGTAGTCGAGATTGGTGAGATGCTGGCACAGGCTGCCCAGAGAAGCTGTGGATGCCCCATCTTTGGCGATGTTTGAGGCCAGGCTGGATGGGGCCCTCATCTCCCAAGCAAGAGGGTAACAGCTCCACAGCTTCTCTGAGCAACCTATTCCAGTGCATCACTGCCCTCCGATTCAAGAATTTCCTCCCAATGTCCAATGTCTATGTATCTTTTTCCCTCTTTGTTCAATATGATGCATCACCTCGAAGCACAGCTAATTCTCTCTTAGGTTTCCCTCAACACCTTTCCTCTTGCCTGGGTAACGTAGCAGATCTTCTTTGAAAGGATACTTTTCCTTCATGCCTGAGAAGGAAAGAATCCCTTCCATACCATGAAAGCATTCCATCCCTTTTCCAATTGATTTTTCAATCACAGAATCACAGAATGGCCAGTGTTGGAAGGGACCTCAAGGACCATAAATCTCCAACCTCCCTGCCAAATGCAGGGCCACCAACCTCCCCATTTAATACTAGACTAGGCTGTCCAGCGCCCCATCCAATCTGGCCTTGAATACCTCTAGGGATAGGGCATCCACAGCCTCTCTGGGCAGCCTGTTCCAGCACCTCACCACTCCCTGTGTAAAGAATTTCCCCCTGGCATCCAAGCTAAAGCTTCTTTCCCTCAACTTCAAGCCATTTTCCCTTGTCCTGCAGTTATCTACCCTTTCAAAGAGTTGATTCCCCTCCTGTTTGTAGGCTCCCTTTAGGTATTGAAAGGCTGCAATGAGGTCACCCTGCAGCCTTCTTTTCTTCAGGCTGAACAAGCCCAGCTCCCTCAGCTTGTCTTTGCAGCGGAGGTGCTTCAGTCCCCTGATCATCTTTGTGGCTCTCCTTTGGACCCTCTCCAACAGCTCCCTGTCTTTCCTGTACGGGGGTCTTCAGACCTGGGCACAGTTCTCCAGATGGGGCCTCACAAGAGTGGAGGTGAGGGGGACAATCACCTCCCTGTCCCTGCTGGCCACCCCTCTTCTGATGGAGCCCAGGATACCATTTACTTTCCAAGCCGCAAGGGCTCACCACTGGCTCATGTTAAGCTTTTCCTCTATCAAGACCCCCAGGTCCTTCTCTGCAGGGCTGCTCTCAAGGACCGCTCCTTGCAGTCTGTATGGATGCCTGGGATTCCTCCGGCCCAAGTGCAAAACTCTGCACTTTGCCGTGTTGAACCTCAAGTCAGTGGTGGATGCCCCATCCCTGGAGACACTCAAGGTCAGGCAGGATGGGCTCTGCGCATTTGATGGAGCTGTGGGTGTCCCTGCTCACTGCAGGTGAGTTGGACAAGATTATTTTTAGTGTCCCTTCCAAATCAAGCAACAATATGACTCTGAGATTTCTGGGCCCTTGGACAGAGCACTGACTGTGTTTTGTGCCATTGGTCTTCCTTATCCTACCCAGCATCCTTGTATTCCTATACACCAGCTGCATCCATCTCAAGGTGGGACTGGCTTCATTTTCCTTCACACATCTAAATACAAATGCCTGTGTGATAGAGTGATAGAGTGATGTGATAGAGTCACCCTCAGCTCCATTTTTTTTAGTCATAAAGGACAAATGTCCAGTGTTAAAGTGATTCTCTGACCATTTAAGATGTCAGCCTCAGGGTATGACAGATGACATATTGCACCTCTAAAATAAGATGAGCTGACTCCTCACTGATTTGCCTTGCATGTGCCATTTGTGCGGGACTGACATACAGCCTTGCTAAAAGTTCACTGAACTTCATGTGCCTAATCAGCAAAATGGCTTTTCCCCAAGCATTTCAGAAAGGAGATGAAAGAGCAGTTTAACATTACTATTAACTCCAGATGCACCAGACAACACATTGGTTTCATTGGCAGGTCACCTTAGAATCGTAGAATCCTTAGAGCTGAAAGGAATCTCTGAGGGCCATCTATTCCAACTCCCCTGCAATTGATAGGGAAATTGATAGGGAAATAGGACCTTTCAATGCCATGTGCCAAGAGAGCAGTTTAATCCTCTGGTGTGCAGCTACCTAAGAGTCCATGGCTTCTCTAATGGCCTGGGAGTTGTAACACCTACCCCAGACATGTCAGCTGTTATACAAGAATTTGTAGCCCCATGGGGGAGTTTGACTACTCCAGGCTGAAAATCACTGTCAGAAGTTATGTTCTCATCTGGACCATCCTACACCTGCTCTGATATCCAACCCTGTTCTTCATCATCCAGGTTGGATGGGGCTGTGAGCAACGTGGTCTAGAGGGAGGTATCCCTGCCTATAGCAGGGGTGTTGGCAATAAATGATCTTCAAGGTCCCTTCCAACCCAAACCATTCTATGATTCTATGATCATGACTCAGACTTGGATAGAGGTGTGGGTTCTTGCTATCTTGCTGTCACTGCTGCTACCTGCCCACAGCATAATGACCTGTTCAGGCTCTGAGCACCCTGATGGAGCAGTTGTTGTCTCTGTTCTTTGCAGGGCAGTTGGGCGAGATGGCCTTTCAAGGTCCTTTCCAACTCAAAACTGTTCTATGATTCTATGATATTGGAGAATCATGTTTGGGGTGGTGTTCTCTCCTGCACGTGTGTCCCATGCCTCATGACAGGTCCCTTGGGCAATCTTTAACTTATGTTTTCATACCCAGGAGCCAAGTGGCACCACCGTGTAGGTCTGTGTTGTCTGACTCTGGCTCTGCCTCCTCTCTGCACCACTGCTCCCACAAAAGGAGCTGTGTTCAGCTGTTACGGATGCGGAACGTGTTGGCGTGGAGGCTGTTCCATTCATCAAGGGTCTCCCTTCTCTACTCATTGTATGTTGGATACAATGAATCAACGTTAATGAGGCAATTTTGGTCATTTCCACTTTGTATGCACAATAATTATTTTCAACACTACAAAATAGTTCCTAATTAAACTGATGGATTTCAGCAAGGTTTTGCAAGACTAAACCTCTTCCTCTATTATAGGGGAAGTGTGGCCTGTGAACTCCATTGTGACTGAACTCCACAAGGCACAACGGGGTTTTCAGATGCCTTCCTTTGGTGGATTTTAATAGGCTGAACAAATTGAAACCTTCGGTGAAATCAAAGATAAAGAAAGAGGTGACACGTCTCTTTCTTGTGGAGGGGAAAAAAAAAAGCAAAATAATTCCTTTAAATGCCCGAGGACAATGTGATATCAAATGTACAGGAGAACAAGATGAATCTCATTACTTTGCTCAAAGTCAGGAATGCCTGCTCATGAAAATGCAGGAAAGAAACTGAAGGAGGGCTGACATTTCAGTGTATTGCCTGCTGCTCTGTAAACAGCCTTGATCCAAAGGAATCATCTGAATGCAGCATCTCCGAGCTGCTTTGCCACACGGAAGTGTTATTTCTTCTCAATGAGAACTTCTGAACCAAATGGAGGTCAAGAGCCTATTACTACCAGCCTAAAAGCATGAGCAGTGCTCTTAGAGGAGCCTGGAGGAGCAGATGCTTTAAAGCTGAATGGTCTCACTGTCGAACAAGAAGTGCTGTCCTTGAAGCAAGATGTTACAGCTGCTTTGGACATTGGTGCTAGTTGCATGAATAGATTACAACAATTCAGCTGAACCACAGCAATTGCTTGGTGCATACTCATAGCCATGCAAAAGCAGTATTCTGGTCTGAGCTTAGCTCGTGACCAAGAGGATGAGCCTAAAAGAAAGTGCCTCTCATTATCTGCAGGATGGAAAGTGCACAAAGGCAGCTGATGGGCACTGTCTCAGGACAGAGTAATGTGACCTTGTGTGTGTGTCTTCAGGCATGAGGAACATGAGATCAGCAGGCTGCCTGTTTTTTGGGAGGCGAAACAAAAGCAAAGTGGGTGTCTAAGGTCCTGTGTAGGTGCTCCTAGTCAGTGTGTTCTGAGCCCAAAACCCTTTGTAGAAAACCAATGCAAGCCCGAAAACAACAGCAAATGGGGGTCTCTCTTCAACATCACGTGGGAGCTCTTCCCTTCATGCCCCAGAGCATTTGCCTTAGAGAATCACAGAATCATTAGAGTTGTCACGACCACTAAGATCATCTAATCTGACTATCAGCCCATCACCACCGTATCACTAAACCATGTCACTCGTTGTGACATCTGCCCTTTTCTTGAAACATCCAGGGACAGTGACTCCATCACTTCCCTGGGCAGCCTTACTAATTCCTCATCACTTTGTATGAGAGTAAATGCTTCCAAACATCCAACCTGAACACTCCCCGGTGCAACTTGAGGCCGTTCCCTCTTGAACCATTGGGAAATACTTTGTGCAAGCACTGAGAATCGAGGAACCCAAAGCTGAAATGTACAGCACTCAATCAATGGCATTGATAATGATATAAGGCAGCTGTTTGCCCCAAAGACACCTTTGGAGTAGATGAAGACATAAAACACAAGTATGGTGCTAGAATGGAGGGTAAGTGAAACTCTTGTACTTGCAAACCAGTGCTTATTGCAGACCACTGCTGCCTCTCAATCAGCCCATCTGCAGGGACTGTGCCCCGTACCTTTACTTCTCTGTGTCCCAGCATTTTACACTCCACCTTTCACCCTGATCTTACTTTTTCTCCTTTATATTTGTTACCAAAGACAAAACAGAGAGAGCGATGACTGAAACCTTAAAAGGCATCACTGGAAAAATGTTGCCCAGAGCAGCAGGTACATCAGTTTGGATATGGAGCATTGATTTCTTTTTATCACCCTACTTATTAGCTACACAGGATTTGCTCTTAAGGAAAAAATAAAAAAAATCAAAATGAACCCAGAGGAACTGTGAGAGATAAGAGGAAGGATGATTTCTCAAGTTATTTATCATTGTGAAATGCTTGTAACTCCAGATCTCAGGTAGGGAAAAAGTTCCCTGTGTTCCTTTCCAGTAATTAAAAGAAAAAAAAAGGGAAACCTGGCAGTTTACCAGACATTCTTTACACGCAGATTTAATATCTTTTTATCTTCCAGAGATAATACCTGAGCTGGAGGAATCAGATTAGAACATGAATGCCTTTGTTGTAATTCCAACTCAAAGGAATATTTTTTGCTGTAATAAACCTATCAGTATTAAGTAGCCTTGATTTTCCATTGCAGTATTGTGGCTTCGTGCCTGAGCAGCATCACAGAGCTGAATCTTCAGCTGGTTGGTTTACCTGTAAGGTAAAAGCTAAGGGTACTGATTAATTTCAAATTCCATTGCTCTGATTAAACAAAGCCTCTGACCCAATGTTGTTGATAGAGTTACCTTGACATGCAATGGCAGAGTATCAGCATTAGCATCAAATTGCCCAGCCCTAGGGATGCAGGGAAAGATAATTAGCAAAACAAACAGTGCAAAGATACTGGAGATTAAAAAAAAACCAAAAAACAAAACACCTGAAAAACAAAGGACATTTCATAGGAACAGAGATTTGCGGAGAAGAATGAAAAGTCTGTTTGTTTTCTAGAATAGG